TTATCAGTGACCATTATATCACAGTTACACTCATTAATGAGGTACTTTACAATATCTATGTGTTTAACAGCACAATGAAGAACAGTCTGACTATTAGTATCATGATATTGTTCGTCCATTATATGACCATTGATGTTCATGACCATACACTTCAAGACATCAAGTAACCCTTGACTAGCTACATAATGAAGAAAAGGGACACCATCTTTATCAGTGACCATTATATCATAGTTACACTCATTAATGAGGTACTTTACAACATCTATGTGTTCAACAGCACTAAACTGACCATTACTGTAAGTAGTCATTGGATAGTGATGAGTATTGATGAGGTACTTTATGACATCAAGTGATCCTTCACTAGCTGCATAATGTAGGATAGTATTTCCATCTTTATCAGGAGTCATTATATCACAGTTACACTCATTAATGAGGTACTTTACAACATCTATGTGTTCAACAGCACAATGAAGAACAGTCCAGCCATTAGTATCACGATATTGTTCATCCATTATATGACCATTGATGTTCATGACCATACACTTCAAGACATCAAGTAATCCTTCCCTAGCTACATAATGAAGAAAAGCGACACTATCTTTATCAGCGGCCATTATATCACAGTTATACTCATTAAGGAGGTACCTTACAACATTTACATGCATGTGTTTAACAGCAACATGAAGAACAGTCTGACCATTATTGTTAGTAGTCATTGGATTACAGTGATGAGTATTGATGAGGTACTTCATGACATCAAGTGATCCTTCACTAGCTGCAACATGTAGAATAGTATTTTCAAATTTATCAGGAGTCATTATATCACAGTTACACTCATTAATAAGGTAATTTAGAACATCTATGTGTTCAACAGCACAATGAAGAACAGTCTGACCATTAGTATCACGATAATGTTCATCCATTATATGACCATTGATGTTCATGACCATACACTTCAAGACATCAAGTAATCCTTCACTACTAGCTACATAATGAAGAAGAGGGACACCATCTTTATCAGGAGTCATTATATCACAGTTACACTCATTAATGAGGTACTTTACAATATCTATGTGTTCAACAGCATAATGAAGAACAGTCCGACCATTAGTATCACGATATTTTTTATCCATTATATGACCATTGATGTTCATGACCATACACTTCAAGACATCAAGTAATCCTTCACTAGCTACATAATGAAGAACAGGGATACTGCCGTATACAGATGTAGTACCCATCATTGGATCACAGGCTTCACAGCCATACTCTTTAATAAGATATTCAACTATATCAACGTGATTACCTTTAGCAGCAGTATAAAGACAGGATTCATCATTATAGTAGTATATGTGTGGATTAAAGTGATACTTAGTGACGAGATCTCTTGTAACATCTAACCAGCCATTCCTTATAGAATAATGAAGCATGTAACGCTCATCCCGGTGAAGTAAAGGCGGATTTACAATATGACATTAGGCCAGCGTACCGTCAATTTTTAATCAAAAGCGTGGGCGATTTGACCTTTGACGCATGCTTTCCGCTGGAATAGAACCAGATTCTATTCCAGCGTCAACGTAACGTCAGGACTAGCGTAATATTGTAAATCCGCCTTAAATCAGGATCCTGTAAATGTAGCAGCCGAACAGCTTCTTTATGATCAGCTCGTCCAATAAAAGCACTCCTACATTTTTTTCGAAGTGTCTTTCCTTCCATTATTTCTTTCAATCATAAATGAGAGGACAAGGAGCCAATGGCATGAGTGAGTTGTTTTATCTATGATGAGAGTGAGAGGAGAGCGGAGAGGAAAGAACTGCAAAATCGAATTTCAAAAGGTCAACCATTCGTGGGTACCGGTAGGACATACGGAAGCGTGGGCGTGGGCAAACCTCCATTCATTTGTATTGTTGCTAGGAGGGCTGGGATTTTTTGACCGATTTTGGAGTAAAAAACTGGGATTTTCTTGCTTTATTCTTGAATAACTCCAAGAGAATACAATTCATGCAAACAAAACTCACACACAATACTAACCAATGTTTATGCTTTTTATTAATATTTCTTGTTCAGTAAATCAATGCATGCGTTAGTAGCCGCGTCACTCTTAACTAGAAATACCATCTTTTCCCCCTCTGAGAGACTCATTTTATACTTGAGCTACGAATAAGTATAACCATTTTAAAGAGCTTGAAATCTCCTATGGAATGAGCTAACTTGCATATTGATACACTGAAGCTTGAGTGTTTTACGAACGATAAAGTGTTTCAAAAACAGGCGACTTTGTGTACCTCTAACTGGTTGCAAAATGGCTTTTTGGAGACAAAAACCTTGTTGCAGGTAGCTCTAAAAATTCTATGTGGAACAGGCTGTATATCAAAAGCAAGCGCTATCCTGGAGCAGCACAAATTTCCTTCGAAATCCTGCCAGAGCAACTTCACCAATGGAGGAGATGGGAAATCAATCAAAACACTGATGGTTGTCACGTGGTGACCCAACCCGCATTTCCTGTTGCTACGCCCCGTTTCCAATCCCTTTCATTTACTCTATTATCTATGATAATTATTTGTACTCTAGCCCCGCCCCACCCTGCATGTCTCCTGCTCCTTTATATGCACAATGCATTACTTTACAAGTTCTGTATTGCATTCCATTTACAATTACATTTACAGCAAATACACAGATATACTGTAATTAATTTTGATAAAAATATTAATTACATGTAAATTCACAGTATAATTCACATACATGTACATTATAATATTAAAGGTATCATTATCATTATCATTATTATCATTATTATTATTATTATTATTATTTACAGTATAGTCTCTGGTATGACTGCAGGTATTACAAACCCAACCTGCAGTGACCTATGACCTCCTCCTCCTCCTTCACTCTCCCTTCCCTCACTCCTGGAACATGAATCAACATTAATATCACTATCAGTCACTGGATCATCCACTGATCCATTAGTTATATTCTCTAACTCATTCACTTCAACCAATAAACCACCAACAGTATACTTCCTCTTCCTAGCTGAACCTCTTCTCACTATATCAGTTCATGGACTCACACTAGTAACACTCCCTGACTCATCTTGATTTGGTATGGATGCCCGTCGAGTGGCTCCGGTGACATTGATGTCATCATTCACTATTGTACATGTATGTGTATATGTACTATGTAGGTGTTGTCTGAATTAATGTTATTATTTCTTTGCCTCACAGTCTGTACTGAAAGGTCATTGCAAAGACTATGCCAAGCAGTGGCGTAGCTAGAATAAATAAAGAAAGAGGGCACAGTGGGGGCACTGACTAAAGCAATGCTCAAGAATACTCAATATAGTAAGCTCAGTTGAGTCAGTTGTAACTTGTATCTTTCATTCTCCTGCCTAGTTGCAGGGGCACAAGAAGCAGTTATGAGGGCACTTGCCCCCACAGGCCCCTATGTAGCTACGCCACTGATGCCAAGTCAGCCATTGGACAAGCTGTCCTCCATTTAAGTAAAGTTAATGAAGAAGCACATAATGCTGATCCAGAAATGTACTCACACGCTGTAAGAGAAGAGGAGAAGGGAGAGGAAGAGAGGGAGAGAGAGGGACAGGGAGGGAAATGGCAGAGAAGTTAGGCACACACACACCTACACATACACACACATACACAGTTGATCTATTTATTACATTTGTACACAATGAAGAGGTGTACTGCTAACACTCTCTCAATGTTAGTGCTAGTAACAATAGAACATCATTTACATGTAAGTAGTACACATATACAGTGCACAAACAAACCATTAACAAACGAAACACACTACATGTATAATAAACAGACAATAAAACACCGGCAGTAAGACAATAGAGTAGTTACATTGTACATGACATACTCTTATGAATGATTTTATTATAAGAATCAGCACAAAATAGACAAGTAAAAGAACTTTATTGTACACATTAATTGTTCATAATAATAATAATAGTCAGATATGGGAGAATAGTAATAATAGAAGTATTTGAAGATGCTAGTGCAGGCAACAAGTTTTGTGTTGTGTAGAAAGTGCAGATTCCAATTAAAATTGGATTTTTAACTATTTTTAAAAGTTGCTTCAAATCAGGGCAAATACCCTACTACAGTATAAGGTCTTGAGGGATCAAATCTTAATAAAATTGAAAAGGATGGAATCCTCCATTTTAATTTTTTTTTCCAAATGCATGTACATATATACTTATGTTTTGTAAAAAGTTTGAGGTGATTCTGATCAAAATTGGACTTTAAATTTTTTTAAAATTTGCTCTCAAACCAAACTAGGCCAAAGTCTCTGTACATCGTCAAAAGAGTTTATTTTTATTACATTTTCTGATTCATACATTCCTTAGTACCGGCATGTAGTAATTATACTCATAGATCTATAGACAGCTAGAATAACTCTTGGTCTCCCATATTTAGTCTGCATGTACAATGTACATGTATGTCTCCTGAAATCTCACATTTAACTGTACACTTTACAATGTACATGTATATATACTATATCCCAGTTGAGTTTGGGACAAAAAAACTGGAATAACTTTTTATTGGAATGTGGGATAAGGATGAAACTTTTACAGGTTCTTAGTCGCTAAAGTCCATCAAAATCTGTGAAACCTTGGGTCTCTCAACCCTTGGGAACACACAAAATGTACATGTTGGTGGGTGAAAATTTTACTGTATACAGCAACAATAGCATATGTATTATTGCATTTATGTGTATATGGTTGCCTCTTTATAATTATTATATTTTTGTAACTTTTAGGTTTTTAAAGAGGAAGAAGGAGCCGTTAAGGTTGATCTTAATTTATGAGGGGTGTGGTCCTATTAAACTTTATTGGACTATGATTGGACTATGGTACTCACTGACTCACGTACCCTTAAAGGAATGGGTGAATTTAAAGATACTGTAGGAGGTAAATATACTGAATTATACTGAAACGTATTGTCCTTAAGCATATTATACTGAACTAAATAAATTATCTTACTGAGTTATTTGAACTACATCATTTATTGTAGAGTGAATCCTACTTTGTAGCACTACCACATTACTAACAGTACAAGGTATTTTTAAAAAATCAGCCAATTTATTTAAATGATCATAACTTGAAAAAATTTAGTCGGAATCAACTCAAGCTTTTTACACAGCATAAGTACATCAATATGTATCAGAAAATGTAATGAAAATTGGGGGTGATTTCGGAACCATTTTTTGGAAAAAAACCATGGGCTATAGCCTTGGGTATTTTTCAGATTTTGGCTCATTTTTAAAAATGGCCATAACTTGAAAAATTGAAGTCGGAATCAACTCAAACTTTCTACACAGCATAAGTACATCAATATGTATCAGAAAATGTAATAAAAATTGGGGGTGATTTCGGAACCATTTTTTGGAAAAAACCATGGGCTATAGCCTTGGGTATTTTTCAGATTTTGGCTCATTTTTAAAAATGGCCGTAACTTGAAAAATTGAAGTCGGAATCACCTCAAACTTTCTACACAGCATAAGTACATCAATATGTATGCAGTCATTTAAATAAGTTTTGATTGCAACCACTCATTATAAATTTGTCATTAATGTGAGAAAATTGTATTCAGTATCCATGGGCATTATTATTGTACCATAGCATGCTGTGGCCTAAGCACTTCATTCTATCTTTTCTGATTTATGAAATTGCTTTATCAAGTTATAAATGAATTCTATATATGGCATAATTATAAATTTCATTCAGCGATCGTTGGTCTTGCGAGTATAGCTTATTTTGTGTTACTCTAAACGATAGTAATAGGGGAAGAACTATAAAAAGATAGTACTCTAAACTTTGTGTAAGATGTATTGAAATGATATTGATATGATCTTATGAATTAATGATAACAATGGGTTATAACCTTGTACATTTAACCTTTTAATTCAACTATAGTTGAATTAAAACAACTTATCCCACACTAAATGTAGAGCAATAACATGTTTTTAACTTTTTGATGCAGCCTATATATAGCCTTAAGTGGAACTGGTACCCTAAGAGAATTTTTAGTTGAGAAAATGACTGATGAAGCTCATGTTAAAATTCAGATTGAAGTAAGTTGCATCATAAATTTTTTACATGCTTTCTTTTTTTATGATGCCTATAAAAGCAGAAATAGAGGTTTCTATTTCATAGAATATGTAAGATAGAGGTTTCTCTCAGAAAATCTCTGTAATGTGTGTTCCAAGCCCATTCAATTAAAAGGAGTGCACTGACTAGTTCAAGTTGACTTCTCACCCCCGGGATATTACCATTGCATGACCCATATGCATGTAATATATGCACCTCTAATGATGTTTCTTTTTCTTTCCCACCTCTTTCTCTTCATTTCTCTCCTTCATATAGTCTCAGAATGATAATAGGTCTGATGACATTGCTGGTCAGTTAAAAATGTATATTTTATTAATAATTATAACAATATGTACATGTATGTGACTAGGTGTGGTGCCATTAAAGCCTATGGCTTCTGCTAATACCTCTTCAGACCATGAAAATTTAATAACAAATGAGGAACAAGTCACTAAATTATCTTCTGATGATGGTAAATCTATAGCAGCTAATTTTGGGATTCTGTTTTGTAATGTAGTGTGCTCTATTAAGGTTGGTTTACAATGCTACACTAGATAGGCCTGACATGCTGGAATAAAATTTGGTTCTATTTAAGCCAAAACCATGAGTCATTCACACTTTTGATTAAAAATTGATGTTACACCGGCCTAGCATAATATTGTAAACCAATTGTAAAGGTGAATTTACACTGCAAAATTAACATAAGGTAAAGCCATACATTAAGGAAGACAGGAAGTGCTGTATATATAAACTAATGGCAACCGTTTACATTACTTAAGATGATAAGAATAGAAATTATCTCGTTAATTTTGCAGTGTAAATCCACCTTTAGTAGCACTACCTAGTTTTAAACTTATACAGCTTAAACAATGTGCAGCTGCCAGGGGTGTATCTGGGAATTGGAGAAGAGGGGTGCTGAGGGCGAACGAAGCGCACCGCGATTTTGGCCACACCCATTTTTACGGCGGTAATTGTAAAACGGCCTTTTCCTGCATTTTCGTCAATTATGGGTGGGGCCAGGATCATTTCAAGCATACTGCTCGAGGGGTCCGCAACGAGACCCTCAAGTGTACCAGATTTAAAATCCTAAAAAATCCACTTGGATTTTTACCGGATTCTCCAGGATTTTTGGATTTTTTTTGGATTTCCTAGATTACTGGATTTTCAAGTATTTCATATGGATTTTCACTTGAATTATTGGATTTACTGATACTTATTTTGGATTTTTGGTAGGATAATTGGATTTTTGGATTTTTTATCTGGATTTTAGGCCTGGATAGTCCAAGTATGGGTGTGTAATAAGGTGTGTTCTGTTTTATTAATTTATTTTGACATAAATTATTGCTGTGTGCATGTACATGTATATACAATAATGGTCTAAATAAAGGCCTATTTGTGTTTTAATAGATCACAGATCTGTCAGAGTGCTGGACAACTTTTACCGGTACCTCGACTTTCACAGAGCCATGCTTTGTCTTCACTGAATGGTGGGATACAATCTTCATGATACCAGTTGCGCAACACCTTTCACATTGAACCATTTTACGCCCATCATCTTCCCTCTTGCACGATGGACAATAGTATATAACTATTTGGAAAAACGAGGTAGTTATGTGGTGTTTTGTTTGTGAGATGGGGAATAGTGTCATTTTTTTGTTACTGATACATTGAATAAGGTGTTGCCGCATTTCATTTTGTCGATAGACACAACTTTGAGGGTCTATACCATTGGCCAGGGCCGTCGCATTGGCAATGGCATAAAGACCACAGTCTGAGGAGCCACTTTGTTTTGTAACTGGAACACAGTTCACTTTTACTTGAATGAAGCCATTCTCAGCTAGGAGAAACGATAAAATTCGCTCGGAATTTTCTGGAAGTTTTGAGTACACTGAATCATAATAATTCAGGCAGCACTCTGAATCATTTTCAGATGGAATGGAACTGACAACTGCCCAATGGTTATTACTTACGTGCAACACTTGTATTAAATTTTTAACATTGTGTAGGTGTCTCGTGAGTTGATAGCAAGTGGACTGTAGGCCATTCAAGTGAGGAAAACTAGCTTTTAGTAAAAACTGTGCAGCCGATATGTGAACATCAGTGATTCTTCTTCCATTTGCAATATCCAATTTATCTTTTACTTTTAAAAGTAGTTTCTCAATCGTAACCCAAACATTCTGTGTTTCATTTGATTTAGGATCACCATCAATTATCATAGGGTTTGAGGCTGAACCAGAAGTTGATGCTTGACTGGGCATGAGAGAAGTCGAGGTGCATTTTTCACAAGCTGAGGCAATGTAGTTCATACACTCTGGAGTAACTTTAAATTCATTGGTTAGTGAAAGGAGGGCTGGTTTAAAACCTAGTTCTTTATCTTGAACTAGATTTTCGATGTACTCTACTGTTAATGTGAATTTGTAATCATCTATCGATATGTACATGCTTTCAGTTGTTGTCATGTGACATTGCCGTGATTTGGTATCAATAGTATACCATGTACATAGTAATTTGAAATTGTCACCAACTGGGGCATAGTTTGCTCTGTAGTTGACTTTTTTTCCTTTTGTGTCAAACTTTTGAAATTGTAACACTTTGCCTATTTTAGGTTCTGTACCATCGTAAAAGACACAGAAGTCACCTATTGCTACATGATTACTGATGAGTGGTTGATTTTCGACTCGATCTGACATTATTGTTGAAAGCTTGGTAGTCTCTTTGGATTCATTTGGCTGTTGTGATCGAACACGGAAGATTCTGTCACTGGACACCCTCTCTCCATCATTGAGTAGCCATACTGCTGTCTTTTTACGGATGAAGATACTCCTGCCTTCAACAATGACTGGTACAAAAAGGGAGTTGTTGGGATCTTTATCTGGTGTCATTATTTCATTCTGATACGTTGGAATTGCTACTGAAGGTATGTCTATGCTCACCATTTTGGCCATAGATTGCCCTTTTTTCAAAAGTTCATTATCAATAGCATTATTGGCATGAAGTTTTTCCAAATCACTGACAATGTCCTTTAAATCTTCAGCTTCATTAGGTTCATTTATGCCATTATGTTCAATTTCATATTCTTCTTTCTCATCATCGTCATCATCGTCATTCCAGGTGCTCATTATGCTACTAGGTTTAGGAGGAATTTCCCATTTGTTGACCCTTTTTAATTCATCTGCCATGCCAAGTTTTGAAACTGCTGACTTGGCTCTTTCCTCTGCTTCTTTTAGTGCAACAAATATATCTTCATCTGTCAAATTCCAGTCAGAAGGGCTTACTTTTCCATGTCCAGTTTTTTTCTTATGACCTTCAAGCCTTGCAAGATGAATACCATGACTTTCTCTTTCAGATTCAGATTCCAAATCTTCTTTGATAGCTAATTTATGTAACCTTTGGAGCATTCCAAGCATGGTAAAATTCACAATTGAAGAGAATGTGCCTTGCATGCTCCTTAATGATCGAAATATTTTCTCTGCACTTTGCGATCCCATTTGCCAGGGTGTGAAACATTCTGGTGCTTTATAAATATCCCTTATGGAAATGACATATGCCAGGAGAGAATGAGCATTTAACTCTACACATGTGTAGCAATTTGATGTGATAAAGTTATCCTTTATTGTAAATGCTCGATGTTGGTGAATCCATTCCCTCCAGTAACGGAGAAAGAAAACAGCATACCATATATCATTGATTCTTTTTTTAGGAGAAAAACTTTTGTCAAGGTAGCTGTTTACTGAAGCATCGACAATTTCAAGGTATACTTTGGTACCTACTGCATCAGGTATGTTTTCTAGGAGTGTAGATGCTCTCATAAAATGCTCAATAGCTGCAAAGTTTTGCTTGTCTCTAGAGTCTAAATCTCTCCTTCTCATCCCATGTTTCTCTTTCCCATATATGTTTGTAAGAATGTGTAGGTGAGCACTAGTAGCAATATAATCTCCCATAGGTAGTAATATTGACGGCTTTAGCAGTCTTGTTTTAAACTTGACTGCTACATGTACCATATCCTGTACACAAAAAAGTGCATACAAATTAGTACATAACCATTTTTTTATTGAAAGATTTCCTTGGAGTATTGGGAGAGGTGTGGTGTCATTATTTAGAGAAAGATTGGTGTTATTTGATATTAGATGTGTTGTAACACGCATAGCCCTCATCAGCCTTGAATCTCCATCAGCTGCAAAGCTGACGACACGTACTCCTCTGAGAGACAGCTCTTTGTTGATATATTTCCACCTCTGTAGTACATCAGTGGCTGAAAACTTGTTGTCACTCCCAATGCAGGCCAAACAGAAGGATGGAACACCCTCTTTCAGAGATTGCACCATGTATACATAAGCATATTTTGCTATAGTATGCTGCTGAAAATAACTCTCAATATCTTCGAATGTATTAACATTGAAGGAATTACGTAAAGGTAAGCCATCTCTATTAACTGGTAAAACAAAACCCACACATGTATTTGAAACTGCATCATACTCAACATTTTTAACGATTCTAGTAGCGTCCTCAGCCAGAGCAACCATAAATGGAGCTTTGTGTTTCACAAGATGCTGTAGTAGATCATCAAAGCGAAAATATCCTTCACGCAAAGGTACATATTCTCTGTAAATTACATTTTGGACTGTGCGAAGTGATGGCAATGCTTCTGGCATATTTCTATGTATAAAATCGTATGCCATTGAACCAGAATTTATGAGTAGCAAAGTGGAAAATTTTTTCAAAATTAGCGAATGTCTTCTTTGACGATCTTGTTTTCCAATATTTTTTTGAGCATTTTCCATGAGATGTTTTAATATTGGGGTTACGTTATCATTTTTTGCAGGTGTTACTTGAGAAGAAGTGGCTATTGAGGAAATAATTGAATGCAGTTTCTCATTCTGTTTTACTAAGTAAGCTATTTTATCTATTGGGTTGTAGTAATCAGTAATTTGATACTGTTCTGGATTAGCTCCTGCTATTTCTAATTTTCTGAGCTTTCGAGCAGTACGAGATTGGGACCAGTTTGAAGACTGTTTTTTAACCCCTCCTCTTAAAACAGAGGAGGGGCTAATTAAAAAACCTGGTTTGTTGAAGGTTTTTCTTGTTTGGATTGTAATGACTGCTCTGATGGCAACTGAGATGGCATTGTTAATAGTGAAGGAGAAGGGGAGTGAGAAAGAGGCGATGCTGTAGGAATCGGTTGAAGAGGAGACACCTGTAAGTTATCGATCACTGATTGATCTTGTAATACATGTTCATTCGTATACTCAGCTGCATGATAACTTTCAGTTGCTATTTCAGTATGAAACAACTCTAATGGTGGAGAGTCATCGTTGGACTGTGAACAGTGAGTAATCGGGAAGAGTGATTGTGATGTTGCTGGTAGTGATGATGGAGAATCATCACTGGACTGTAAACAATGAGTAATCGGGAAGAGCAATTGTGATGTTGCCTCTTCAGCTGTTGCTTCATTTGTGGATAATGTATTACCAGTAAGTGCCAAATGATGTCGGGAAAAGAAATGAGTTATTTCTGTTGCTGGTCTGGATTGGTCTTTTGGTGTTCTTAGGCACTTTCTTACGTGCTTTGACCAATTATTGATCATACGGTGACCTTTTGGCCCAATATTGACTGTATATGACTTTCCACATTTGCATGATATAGATGCTTCACAAATGGAAGAGTTTGATTTTGGCTCACTTACAGCTATACTGTAATCATCCCCCTCTGTCATAGTGTTAAGCTCTCCTTTATTATAATCTTTAACCCATTTCTGTACTTTGCATCTGATATCATTAGTGACTGTTTGTTTTGTTTCAGGTACTTGTGTCTGTGGAGCTTGTGATGATGTAGTCTCATCATGTACTAGTGATGATGCTTTGCGCTTCTTTGCTGGAGGGCCAGATATTGCTTGAACGGGTAATCGCTGGCCCTTAAAGGATGAAATGAACTTCTTGATAATAACACGGTGTCCTGGAGGAAATTTGAATGGCTCGGATATACATTTATTTCGTCGCATACAATGTAGCAGTTCATCCTTTCTCTCATCAATATATTTCTCAAGGTCAGTTATAGACTCATCATCCATCTCACATATAGCATCTGCTGTTTCATAACCTGCCTCTTCAAAACAGTTACAAATGTACTGAGGCAATTTTCTTTTCATTTGTTCCATGGCATTATCTTCTTCATATAGGTCACTATGGAGCACAGAAGTTGAGTTTTGGATTGTGTGAGTATACAGCTATTTTACCTGTTAATCTCTGCCATAGCTGCTAAAGATAGGTTGCTTGCTATCACTACAGCTAATTGAGTAATAGTATGTCAAGCTAAGTTTCAAACCTACATGTGGATAATTTGTAATAAGTTTGTGATTTGTCATTATTTGTCTCATTATTGATCTTACTCTAAATAATTTTGATATTATAGAGTCCAGAAATAGTATTCAACGGAGTGAAGTGAGGATGGTGAATTATCCTTGGAATTATCTATGCTAGATTTTTTAAAGTTGTTTTCATAACATGAACATTATTGGCTTTATCTTACCCTAGGTTTTTCAGACAAATTCAGTCTTTAGACCAAAATGCTGTTTCTGTTACCCTGCCAGTAACTTGAGATAAGATCAAGGATCAGGAAAGAAAGAGCAAATGAGAAGAAGGAATCGAGAGCAAGGAAGTTGGACTATCACAAAGACTTTAAAGTTTCAGTAGCTCTGCCTTTAGCATGAGCATGTGCACTACTACTAAATATAGCAGCTCAAACTGCTATATTTAGTATCGATGCATGTTCATGCTTGGTTTCACACTCAGTACTTGTGACTGCTGAGATGTACTGTTTGTTCCTATTTTAGAATCATTATACTAACTGAAAAACCACTATCACTAATGACTTATTAATTAATGTTTTTATTAATGTTTTGTTTAATTAATAATGGATAATAAAACAGTCTTCAGTAATTTTCCGGATACTGGTTAGGATTTTCTCTGGATTTTTGGATTTCCATGGAATGGATTAATCCACTGGATTTTTGGATTTTTGGCAGATTTCAGTGGATTTTGGATTATTTTCTTGGATTCTTGGATTATCTTGATACTCTACTGGATTTCAAGATTATTTTGGATTCCCGGATCATAATTTTTGGACTTTCCCCAAAGTGTACCAGATTTTTTTTCGTTGCGGACCCCTCGATACTGCTATGTTACTGGTACTTCTGATTGCTCCTTAAAGCATTGGAAACTGCTGAAATCATGATAAGGGGGCTAGATAACTTTGTTAAGAGGCTTGATAGTGATGCAAGAGTCCAGGACTTCAGTAATTTTTTCTGAGCCCAGCCCTGAGGGGGGTGCTCAAAGCCCCCTCAGCCCCCCCCCTAAATACGCCTCTGGCTGCTGTACATGCCCTTTTTGATTATATTTTGAAAAGTTATCAATTCTTATGTACAGATGAAAGTGGTTATACACAACTTCACCAAGCTTGTATTAATGGTAACTGTAAAGAGGTTGATGAATTGTTACGCAAAAAAGCAGTGGATGTCAATGCTACTGATAAAGATGGATGCACACCACTTCATTGTGCTTGTAAGATTGGTAATGAAGGAATTGTTAAGCTTCTTATTGAGAAAGGAGCTGATTCATGTATATTTAGCCATGAAAGACGTACACCACTTCATA